GTTATGTGAACCTCTGACCTTCCCGAAAAAAGGCATCACCGCTCATAGCTAGCCTGTTGGTGCTTAGTATAAAGTTCCATTACATTCAACTTATACGTCATGGAAGTTGGCTTCTAGTATAAGGATAACATAGTTCAATTGATGATTCTCATCTCATCATTAGTATTAAGATTACCTTAATGCCAATACATTTGTAAGAGTATTCCTAAAGACTAAACTCTTTTTTTAGCTTCATTCTCTCATAGGTGAGTACGTTTTGGTAACATTTACTTAAGCTTATTTGAGATTGCTCTCATATTTCACATTAGCCTCTTATCATGTTGTCACCACAATCATTAGCCTTAACATATTTTCTCTTCATAATTACTCACCCCTTTTTACGCGAATGTTAATATAATCATATGCCAATGCATTTGGCCATTTAGTGTGTTTCACACTCTTACTTGACCCTTCTAGGTTTTCATCATTTCATTACATACATCATAGTTTCACGTACTTTACAAGTATACTAGACTTATGGATCTATATATACAATCTATGAGGCTTCAATCATAGTTTGTTTTAGTGATTCATATCTTTCAAAGATTTTGTGATACAAGACTTATGCATCTTGCAAGTATGCGAAGATCTCGATTTTAATCTATGTAGGCAACATTATTTTTGAACATTTATTCACGTATGACTTATGTATCAATATGAAATTTGGGTAAGGGAACCCAATTTTTAATATGTTAGACAACACTTACATTTTTATTTATTTAGGTTTGATCTACGCGGCTTGGGGATCCAACATCGAGCCCCGACGTTTTCATTTCATTTTCCCCTTGATTTATCTCGTTATTTTTTATTCATTGGGACAGAGAGGATGTGGGATCTAACCCCCACAACCTCATTTCCTTTTATTTTGTTTTCTTTTAATTCTCTCCTTCTAGGCCTAGAGGGTGTGGGATTCAATCCCCACAATCCCACTCTAATTTTCTGCTTAAACTCCTTTTATTCTGCCTAGAGGTTGTGGGTTTGATTCCCACACACCAAAAACTTCTTTTTTTTCTTTTAAATGCTCCTTAAATGAGAGTAAGAGGTGTTGGGTTTGAATCCCACTCCTGTCATTTCTTTTTTTAGTATTTCATTTTCGGTCAAGGTCACGTGTTCGAATCCCCCTTGCCACATTCTTTTTCAATTACATTATTTCTATGACTTTCAACATAGTGAGGTCACGAGTTTGATACTCTGTGACATCATTTATATTTCCTTATTTTTCATAACATGTTAATTGACTTAGCTTGACCGAAATTAACATCAAAGTACTTGAATTTTTATCACATTTTTGCAGCCTATTTTTCACCTCTTTCACAAAAAATATGTATACGTTTAGAGTAATTTTTAATGAGTTATTCAGGTGCATTTCAAAGATCATATTCGATAAAGAATTTGCACTCAAATCAGCATTTTTACATAACTTATGAACATCACGATTTAAACAAGTTTGTGCACATAAAATACAACAATAAACATGTCATTTTCATGTTCCAATCCGTGTCCAAAAGTCACGGCTACACATTGCACACATGTAAACACGTATTTTCGGAAACATAGTTAACAGTCATACAATTCCAAATATACATTCATGAGAATATTCATCACGAACACACATTACATGCCTAATATCTACCAGTAGACATACAAACCTACAACCATCATAGGAGCTAGTTATAGGGACATGCAATTGGGGAACAATTCTAGTTTTTGGATTAGAATCTACTGAATCTTAGGGGTCTCTTGGCAAAGGGACCAAGAGTAAGAAAAACCTTACCTTTTCTCTCGTTCAAACCTTTAACTTGCTTCCCAAATCCTTTACAAAAAACACGTCCAATTCCCCGCAACGTCAACACCAATTCGATGGAGAAACTTCCTTTATTTCCTAATATTTTTGCTTATGTTTTGATTATATTTTTTTTGTGTGAGTTCTTAAAGTGTGCAGAACTTTAGTAATTTTACTGCTTTAGTACTCTTGTTTTGCAAAGAAAATGTGCAAGAGAAGTTGATACGTGAGAGAGATGAGCGTGATAGAGTTGTTTAGGATTAGGAGTTTTAGTTTTTGAATTAGTCAAACTAGGACTCTTTATTAATTTAATAATAATCTGATTTTATTATCTTAGTGAAATGACCATAAAGCCCTTAAAAACAGATTATTGTTAGGATCGAATTCACGCACATACACTAGATGAATGAAGAACACAAGAACTTTCAAGAGAAAGAGATAAGAGATCTAGAGAGAGAAAGAGAAAACCTTATATTTCGTGGTAACACCCCGTGAGTAAACTTCCATGGAGGTGAGATATATTTATATAAATAAATCAGAGTATTTTTTGTTACAGAGAATAAATAGGAAAGCCTAAAATAGAGAATAAATAGGAAAGCCTAAAATTAATACATTCTCAAGAAAAATCTCTTCATCATCAACATATTTACCGCACCGCAACATCTACAGCAACAACTACAAAAGATCAACCGAGGTTTTACATAACCTCAGTTTCCCAACATAAACACATTTTGTCAACATGTCTGTCGGGTTCTTTGCACCCTCTATCTTCTCCAAGCACATATCACCATCCTCCACTGCCCTGCGAGTGAAATGGTATAGCCTTCTGATCTGGTTTGTCTTCGAATAATAGACTGAATTTTTCATGAACTATATGGCACTCTGGCTATCTGAGTATAGAATCTTCTCGCTCTGCTTCTTGCCCAATTCCTCAAGATATCTGCCAGCCATATCATCTCTTTCCGAGCTTCAACTATTTCCACATACTCAGCTTCAGTAGATGAAAGAGAAACACACTTCTAAAGCCTGGACATCCAACTCACCGTTGTTCCACCTATGGAGTAAATGTACCCGGATGTACTCTTGCTCGAGTCAACCTCCCCACCAAGATAAGCATCCACAAAACCCTGTAGAGTCACCTTGCAATTGCCAAAACAAAGTGAAGTACTGGATGTACCTCTCAGATATCTAAGAAGCCACATCACAGCTTCCCAATGCTCTTTCCCAGGGTTTGTCATGGACCTGCTAACAACTCCCACTGCATGTGCTATATAAGGTCTAGTGCAGACCATAGCATACATCAAACTACCAACTGCTGAAGCATATGGAACAAGTGCCATGTGATCACGCTCCTCGGCAGTCTTGGGTGACTGCTCCTTTGAAAATTTAAATTGATTTGCCAATGGAGTAGTCCTGGGTTTAGCATCATTAACCCTGAATCTGCTCATCACCTTCTAAATGTACAACTCCATAGATTTAAAGTTCCAGTAGATCTATCCCGAGAAATCTTCATCCCCAAAATCTGTTTTGCTTAACCCAAATCGTTCATCTCAAACGCTGCACACAACCTTGTCTTCAGATTATTAATCTCCCTCATACTAGATCCTGCAATCAACATATCATCCACATACAAAAGTAGAAAGACATATGAATCATTGTATTTCTTAAAGTAACAACGAGGATCCTTTTCAGCTTTGCAGAATCAACTCTTTGTCATGAAGGAGTAAAACTTCTTGTACCACTGCCTTGGTGCTTGCTTTAGTCCATACAAGCTCCTGGTGAGCTTGCACACCATGTGTTCCTTGCCTGGAACCACAAATCCTTCCGGTTACTGCATATAGATCTCTTTGTCCAAATCTCCATGTAAAAACGTTGTTTTTATATCCATTTGCTCTGGATGCAAATTCTTTTATGCAACAATACTCAACAAAATTCGAATAAAGGTTAACTTTATAACAGGAGAAAATATTTCAGCATAATCAATACCTTTCCTTTGTGAATATCCTTTAACCATTAAACGAGCCTTGAACCTTCTTTTGCAATCTGGTTCAGTCTTGATTCTGAACACCCACTTGTTCAGTAAAACTCTCTTCCCTGCAGGTAACTCAGTCTTCTCAAGTGACCTCATCTCATCATCCATGGTTTGCTCCCACTTGATCGAATCCTCCACATGTAGGGCCTCATCAAAAGACTCTGGTTCCCCCTCATCAGTCTGCAATAGATAGTGTAATGAAGATGAACTATCTGGTGCCCTGATGGATCTGGATGATATCCTTTGGGCCTGCTCAGGTGTAACTTTCTCCACTTAATATTCTTCAGTAGGAGTTGGTTGAGTATATGCTTCGACATCTCTGGGGTTACTCTTCTCCAACTCAACCTCAACCCCCATTTGCTTTGTATTCTCTAGAACCTTTTGCTCTCTGTCCTTGTAGTGGACAGACTTATCAAATGTCACGTCACAATGTATCAGAATCTTTCTGTTCTTGTCATCCCAAAACCTGTAACCAAACAAATCAGAACCATATCCTCAAGTGTGAGTACTTGAGTTCTTTTCCTGTCCACACCTCTTATGGAATCTTGAACCCTAAAGGAAATGATGATCCCCTTTTGATCAAGTATGCAGCTGTGCTCAAAGCATCCGCCCAAAGTGTTTTGGGCAGCCCATAGTGTATCCTAATACTCCTTGCACGCTCATTCAATGTTTTGTTCATCCTCAAAGCAATTTTATTCTGTCTTGCCTTACCAAGAAGTGTTCTCATCAATCTTATTCCCTCAGCTGCACAGAATGCCTTAAACTGTGATTTGTCAAACTCTCCTCCATTGTTAGACCTTAGGAATTTGACTTTCAAACCGGTCTGATTCTCAACTTCAGCTTTCCACTTCTTAAAATTTGCAAACACATCTGACTTATGCTTCAAGAAGTAAACCCATACCTTCCTACTAAAATCATCAATGAAGGTAACATAGAATCTGGATCCTCCAAGTGATGATACAGGAGATGGTCCCCAAACATCTGTATAGACCATTTCAAACTGCACTTTCTTTGGCTCTCTAGGAATCTTTGTGAAGCTTACTCTTTTCTGTTTTCCCATAACACAGCTCCCGCAAAGACCCATATAAACAGACTTCAGACCCTCTAATTCTCCTTTTGCAACCAACATCTTCATTCCTTTAGCACTCATGTGTCCAAGTCTGTTGTGCCATAGACATAAACCAGAAGCACCTTCAGCAATAGAGGCCATGTTTATACACCCTGCAGTGGTGTACAAGGTTTTAGATTTGGTGCCACGAGCTACTACCATAGCACCTTTCACGATCTTCCACAAACCATTCCCAAACTCTGTTGCATATCCCGTGCTATCCAACTGACCAATAGAGATCAGATTTTTCTTGATCACAGGAATATATCTGACATCCTCTAATGTCCACTGGTTTCCCGAGGTGGTCTTTATGCAAACATCCCTCTTTTCTTCAATCTCTAAGGCTTTATTGTCAGCAAGATATATTTTTCCAAAATTTTCAGATTTGAAGTTTTGGAACAACTCCTTGCTTGGAGACGAATGGAAAGATGCACCAGAATCAAAAGTCCATGATTCAACCGGGCTGTTCACACTAAGGATTAGAGCATCCCCAATGTCCTCTGCTCAATTTATAGAATCATTGTAATCTCCAAATTTCTGATTTTGTTTCTTCTTTGGTTTTGTACAGGTCATCCGAAAGTGCCCTTTTTCTCCACAGTTCAAACAAGTCACGTTTGATCTGTTCAGTGATTTACCTCGATTCATTGATTTTGATCGACCATGTTGATTTTGGCCTTTCGTCTTACTTCTCCCCCTTCAATCAACGCTGAGAGCATTGCCTGATGAATCTCCCACTTCTCGTTTGCGAATACATTCGCTAAGAACAACATCACAGATTTCATCAAACTTCAGTTTCTCAGATCCACGGGAACTGCTAATCGCAGCAACAACAGTATCCCAAGACTCAGGCAGAGATGAAATCAAAATCAACGCCTTAATTTTATCTTCGAAATTAATATCCACAGAATTGAGTTGATTCACAATCATATTGAACTCGTTTATATGATTAGAAACGGATCATATTTCAGAAATCTGTAAATTGAACAATCTACGCATTAAACATACGTTGTTCATAGCCGATGGTTTTTCATACATGTTTGACAGTGCCTTTAACAGACCGGACGTACTCTTCTCCGTCATGATGTTGAACTCCACATTTCTTGACAAAGTCATCCGGCTCAACCCTAGAGCCTGGCGATCCCTAAGTTTCCACTTCACCTCCGTCGTGGATTTCGGCTTCACCCCGATAACCGGTTCGTGAAGATCATTCTGGTACAGATAATCTTTGATCTGCATCTTCAAGAAACTGAAATCAGATCCATCAAACTTCTCGATTCCATGCTTCAAACTATCCATCTTCTGTAATCGTGTTAAATCTCCTTAGCTCTGATACCAGTTTTTTGGATCGAATTCACACACACACACTAGATTAATGAAGAACACAAGAACTTTCATGATAAAGAGATGAGAGATTTACAGAGAGAAAGAGAAAATCCAATATTTCGTGGTAACACCCCGTGAGTAAACTTCCACGGCTGTGAGGTATATTTATATTAATAAATCAGAGTATTTTTGGTTATAGAGAATAAATAATAAATCCTAAAATAGAGAATAAATAGGAAAGCCTAAAATTAATCAAGCTCCACTACCTAACAATTATAAACCTCAAATTAAATACATTTAGTTGAAGCTTCTATTAAGGTTCGAACGCGGGTGAAGTGACCACGGTGGACGGGTCATTTTGGGTCAACCTGATTCAAACCGTTTACTAAATAAAATTAATTAGTAAGTTAATAAATTCCTTATGGCAATTACAGTATTACCCTTGGCCAGGAAAATACCACATTACGCCTAGACCCTCCAAACCTAAGATTTTTCGTTTTTAATTCTGGTAAAGACTCATCCTAGTAAATCTACATATTCGAGAGCCCTACACGGATGGACCTAACCTTTTCTATCTCAACTAACTCCCCATGTTAGTTTTCTTGGCTATAGTAAGGGTTTATAGGTCTTGTTCTACCTGCACAATCCGTGTTAACACAACCTAATCATAGGCACTCTAGACACATTGAGCTTTATTTAGTATATCTTTTTTTAGGGTTGTTAATTATTCCCTCCTTAGGAACATTCATCCCCTAATGACACTACTAAATATCTAGCGTAATGCCAGTCATATTATAATGTAATTACTATCCATAATCATGCAATAGCAACAAAGAACGGAGAGATAAGGAAACTTAGATTTACGAGTAGCGATTCTAACCTCAAGAGCTTAAAAGATGATGATAGAGGGATCTCATACCGGCCTCAACCTCCGACATAACACCCTTAACAAGATTATTCCATCAAAATACGTTCACTATGGCAATCTCCTTTTTCCTTATACACTTGACCTGTCTGTCAAAAATCTCAATAGGTACCTTTTCATAGGACAAGTCTTCATCGACGCCCAAACCTTCAACAAGGTAGAATCGATTCTGGATCACCTAGGCACTTTTTTAACATAGAGAAATGAAAACCTAGCTGAACAAAAGCTTTCTCCGCAGGAAATTCCAACACATAGGGAACCTCACCCACACGATGTAGGATCTCATATGGCCAAAAATACCTCGAAATCAACTTCCCGTTCCTGCAAAACCTCATCACCTACTTCATAGGTGATATCTTCAAATAGACATGGTCACCAACATCAAACTCTAAGGGCTATTTTCTATTGTCTGCATAAGGCTTCTGCCGAGTGTAAGAAGTAGCCAACCTGTCCCTAATCACCCTGAACTTCTCTAAGGCCTTATGAATGATCTCTTGACAAAAAATTGATGAATCTTCGACCTCGAACCACCCAACTGGAGACCTACACCTCCTGCTATACAGTGCCTCAAATGGTACTATCCCAATGCTGGAGTGATAACTATTATTATACGAGAACTCTATCAAAGGCACATGGTCGTCCCAACTACCCCTAAAGTCAATCAGACACGCCCTCAACATGTCTTCCAATGTCTGAATGGTGCGCTCAACCTTCCTATCAGTGTGAAGATTAAAGGCAGTACCAAGCTTCACCTGTATGCCTAATCTCTTCTGGAAGGATCTCTAAAAATGTGAGGTGAATTGAGCTCCTTTATTAGAAATGATAGATAATTGAATCCCATGCCTTCTCACGATCTCATTAATTTAGAATCTCGCATAATCCTCAGTCCTGTAAGTAGACTTCACAGGATAAAGTGATAAGACTTAGTCATCCGGTCCATAATAACCCATATGGAATCCTGCTAACTCCTAGTCTTTGGAAGACCAACCACCAAGTCCATACTAATGGCCTCCCATTTCTAAGTAGGAACCTCAATAATCTGAGTAAGACCGCTAGGCTTAAGATTTTCTGTCTTAACTTTTTGACAATTAGGACACTTGGCCACATATTCAGCAATGTCCTTATTCATGTCGTCCCACCAGTATATCTTCTTAAGATAAGGATACATCTTGGTGGAACCAGGATGTATGGAATATGTTGAACCATGAGCCTCTTCAATGATCTTGGTTCAAAAATCATCCACATCTGGTACACATAGCCTGTCCTAGTACTCAAGTATGCCCTCACCTCCCAAATAAAAAGACTCATTCATATTTTTCAAAACTAAGTCCTTTAACTCCATCAAAACAGGATCAAAATGCTGACCCTTCTTGACTTCAACTACCAAGGACGATTCAGAACGAGGATGAAGTGAAACACCCCCACTAGTAGAGTCAACTAACCGCATACCCAATCTTGCAAGTCTATGTACATCTTTCACCAAATCCTTCTTCCTATCCTCAACGTGGGTTGTACTTCCCATGCGCATCCTTCTCAAAGCATCAGCTACAATAGTAGCTTTACCTGGATGGTATTGAACATTCATGTCATAGTACTTCAACAGCTCCAACCATATCCGCTGTTGTAGATTAAACTCTCTCTGCGTGAACACTTACTTGAGAATTTTGTGGTGTGTGAACACATCCACGTGAACTCCGCACAAGTACTGCATCCACATTTTCAATGCAAAGACCATAGTTGCCAACTCCAGGTCAATCATCAGGAAATACATCTTGGAACTCATTCACTATAGGCACTAAGTCTATGGAAGGAATGTCATGATCAAAATCATTAACACTTATAAGATGACATAATAACTCATGGGACATCATTTTATAGGCCTTAAGGTTTGAAATAAGGGGATTAGGATGACTCGAGTTGTACCCCTCCCAGACGAGCTCCATACAACCCTTCTATGATAATCCATAAATGCATAACTACTATGAAGCCAGTCCATGCAAAGAATAACATCAAAATGATGCATTGGTAACTCAACCAAGTCTGCAGACATGGTTTTACAACTTACAACTGTTGGGCAATCCTTGTGTAGTCTATTTGTTTTTACATTTTCTCCTAAAGGTGTACTAACCACTATAGGATCACGTAGAACATCAGGAAATATATCAAAAGTGATAGCAAGTAATGGAGTTATGAAAGAAAGTGTAGAACTTTGATCAAGTAAAGCATTAGTAGAATTTGAGAATACTTGAAGCTTACATGTAACCACATCAGCAGATTTCTCCTGCTCCTCCCTTGCCTTCAAGGCGTAGAACCTGTTCCTCTTAGGAGGCTTGGCTGCTGTTGCACCTTTTTAATTAAGCCTAGTCTTAGCATTACCTCCTGCCTTACCTCTGTTCTATGGGCAGTCCTTAACCATGTGCCCTCTCTTACCGCAACCGAAGAAGGAATTAGTGTCATGCTTACACTCTCCACTATTAGCACGACCACACTTAGTACACTCCTTTCTGGGACTTTATATCTTACCTCAATTTCCCTTCTTGGGCTCAAGTTTTCCTCCTTTAGGTATTGTACTCCTCTGAAAGTTAGAGTTCCCAAAAAGTTGTTACCCCTTTTTAAATTTGGGCTACTTAAGGACGCCAAAGTTATCCCTATTTCCCCTACTGCTAGACCCTACCTTATTAAGAGGCTTATGCCTCCTACAATCATGGATTCCCCTCTTATTTTTGTTATCCTCTACCTTATAGGCATTAACCATCAACCTGGAGAGGTTCCTGTTATTGTGGAGCAACGCAGATCAACACTCCTCCAACAAATCTCTGGTAATTTTTTGAGGAACCTAATCATCTCATTCCTGCAGCTAGATACAATTGAAGTAGCATACCACGATAGGTTAACAAACTCTAGGGAATACTCCCTGACTGTCATTGATCCCAGCATAAGGTTGACAAACTCCTCAACTCTGGCCTTTCTCATCTCCCTTGGGAAGAATCTCTCTAGGAAGGCTGTATTAAACAGCCCCCATATGATCGGAAATCCGCCCAAAGATCGGCTATCTTGCCATATCTTTCACAAATTTTGTGCAACAACCGTAAGCTGATAGGAAGCCAACTCTACTTTCTCGATATTTGTGGCCCCCATAGCAACCAAAATGTTATGCACCTTGTCCACAAACTCATGGGAATTCTCTAATGTCTTAGACTATGTGAAAATAGGAGGATTTAGCATTGTGAGGTCTCGCTGCCTGTCAGCCAATCTACGAACCGATGGGTTCTCCCTCTAAACATTCTACCGGTTGACCTGGTCAGTCTGGCCTTGTCTTGTAGAGTGATGGTTTGTGCCATATGGTCTAGAGATGCCCTACACCTTCGCATCGGTAAACCCACCAGGATTAACTGGCATAGCGACTCCTTCAACTGGAGCCTGGGGTGGATCGTGATTTTTCCCAGCAACTTCTCCTCCTCTTCTCATACCAATGGTTCTCCTAGTATTGTTTCACTTAAAACAACAAGTATTGATGTTATACATGCTAATAACATCAAGAAATCTTACATTTGTAAAAGGCACATTGAGAGCAGAAAAAGTGAAAGTTTCCTACGCATCAAGCAATCTTTAATTAAGGATAATGGTGCAGTTCACTACCATGACTTAGAAACTACTCAATGTGGTTGATGTGAACTTATTATCTTCGAAATTTAACTTAGTGCTCTGATACCAACTTTGTCACGACCGAAATCATGACCCAGATGACACCGACGTCGTTGACCTCTCAGAGGTCGTAGACAAGCCTACATAGGTTATCCTTACTTTATTTAGGTTAATTGTAGCCAAAAATTAAAACTTTTTTTGTAACATGCATGTAAATCATTCTTATTAAATTCATATACCTTCACCATCAACCATCTAACATTAAGAACATCAAATGAAAGAAATCGTTGAATAGTGCATTAAGTGTATACTTGGAAAAATGGAGCCAATACAATGTCTGAAATCAAACGGGAAAGAAACACTAGTGGGACATACTCCACTAGCTCAATCCTATTACTAAGCTACAATATAATGGATAAGCGTCCTCGAATGCATGAGGGACAACAATGTACAGATGAATACTCCACGTCTAGATAGCTTCAGCGTCGATTTGTAAGCTCTAATGTCCACCTATCCCTGGACCTATAAATATAGGGTTTTATGGGATTAGTTCACACTTGTACTATGTATAGATATATTCAACCACAAACCAAGGACATGGATGAGTAAGAATAACTCTTTCCTAACAACATGATTTATGGAAAGTCTAGTAAGTGGACTTGCCAAATTAGGATTAGGAATGTCAGGGGACTTGCCAATTTTGAAACAGGAAAGTAAGGGGAGTTGCAAATTTGAATTAGGAGAGTCAAGGGAATTTCTGAATTTGGTTTAGTAAATTCATGCCATGAGAGCAACCTCAATCATCATCTGTATCATATTATACACTTGACATAACATCTAACACATAGAACATAACATATTGCATGTAGCACATAGCATATTACATATTATTCGTTCATATGCCATGAGACCTCGGAATCATGGACTTGACATTAAGACTTCCCAAAATCAACATATGGGACCTCAACTAGGAGACTTCATTAGCAAACACAAAGTCTGTTTCATACATTCATACATACTTCATTTCATTCATTCATAAGCCAGTGTAAACACTATCCCTACCTAGGATGTAGTTTAAGACTATCATCGGGTTTGATGTGCAATTATCAAGAATAACTTAGTGTCAATATTTGAGTCTAGATCACCTCTTAATTAACTTATCCTAACACCTTTGTTATCGTTCATATCATTATGTGCATCATTTGAGGTTGGCCTCATTCATCCATTTGGAAACTTTAACTTTAATTGACATAGATCATGTGAGCATCTTGAAATCCAGTTTCTGCCTCACACCAAAAAGAGGTGGAATCACCGGCCAAAATTACCCAAAACGTGGTAGCATACATAGGGATTGAACCCTGATAGATCCATATATTGGCAGTATAATTTCAAAGACTAGGAGATATAAGGATACACATACAAGGCAATGCCAAAGAATCTCATTCATGAGAGTTACATGAACCTCCGCCCTTCTCGAATGAAGGCATCACCACTCATATCTAGCCTATCGGTGCTCAGTATTAAGTTCAATTGAACTCAAATCATACGTCATGGAAGCTGGCTTCTAGTATGAGGACATCATAGCTCAATATATGATTTTTCATCTCATCTTTAGTATTAAATATACATTAATCTTAATAATTTCATTACAGTGTTCATACAGACTGGTCTCTTCTTTAGATTTAGACTCTCATATTTTGCTTTAGCATATTTGCTCTTTATAAATACTCACCCCTTTTTATGTGAATGTTGATTTCATCATATGTTAATGTACTTGGACATTTAGTATGTTTCACACTATGACTTGACCCTTCTAGGGTTTCATCATTTCGTAACATATATCTTAGGTTCACTTACTTTACACGTATGCTAGACTTATGGGTCTATATATACAATCCATGAGGATTCAATCATATTTCATTTATGTGATTCATATCTTCTTAAGATTATGTTACACAAGACTTATGCATCTTGTCAGTATGTCAAGATCTCGATTTCGATCTATGTAGGCAACATTATTTTTGAACATTTTTTCACGTATGGCTTATGTATCAAAACAAAATTTGGGCAACGGAGCCCGATTTAAAATCCGTTTAATTATTTTGCTTTGATCCACACGGTTTGGGGACCCAATATCGAGCCCCAATGCCCTTATTTTATTTTTCCCTTGATTTCTCTCTTTGTTTTTTATTCATTGGGACTGAGAGGATGTTGGATCGAACCCCCACATCTTCCTTTCCTTTTATTTTCTTTTCTTTTAATTCCCTCCTCCATGGCCAACAGGGTGTGGGATCGAACACCCACAACCCCACTCTAATTTTTTCCTTAAATTCTATTTATTCTGCATTGAGGTTGGGTTTGATTCCTACAGACTCAACCTTTTATTTTTCTTTTGATTCCTCCTTTAATATGATTTAGGGGTGGTGGGTTCGAATCCCACTTCTCTCATTTCTTATTTTTAGTATTTCATTTTCGGTAAAGTTCACGGGAAAGAATCCCCCTTTCAACATTCTTTTTAACTTACATTATTTCTATGACTTTAAACTTAGTGAGGTCACAAATTTGATCCTCATTGATTGTAAGAACCCAAAAATGAGTCATGGTGTTAGATCCTAACATGTTTTTTCTTAAATGGACGACTAAGAAGTTCGACGACTAAGTCTCCTAGATGCCTATTACGTGATTCTATGTGTTTATGGGTGTTTCATGATAATCTAAGGTTCTAAAATATCATATTATATTGCTTAGATTCAGTGTACAAAGTTTGAAGATATTTGGACATCGGACGTCAAGGGACAACCAAGACGTTCGAAGACTAGTCGCTTATGTTACTCATGTGTCTATGCATTCCTAAGTTTGCATGTGATGAGAATAATAAGTTTCAAAATTGTTTAGTTCGATTTTTAATGTTTTTATATGATGTTTCGTGAATTTTGGAGGTCAAATTCCAGAACGTCCAAGGCGTTCGAAAGATAGCCCCAAACATGTTCATCGAATGTCATGTTGGGGACAGGGCTGTTTGGACATCTTGTAGGTGTTTGATTTAAATGAAATTTATTTGGAAGGTCTATAAATTGTTAAGGGTTAAAATCACGTTGGAAAGGTCCGGGTACGAATGCTAAAGGGACCCACAAAAGACCCCAAAAGAAGGACACAAAGCTGCGTAAGACACTGCCTGGGCAGTGTCCATTGAAGGATCCAATGACGGATCGTTGGTCCACCAAGGGCCCGTCGATCAGGTATCATTGATGGGGACTTTTCTTGGGCAGGTATCAATCAAATATCTGGCTAATTTCCGAATGACGTAGGCCAGGCACAGCCTGTCAAGGCAACAACACCCCGTCACTGCCTTCGTAGGTAGCCTGCAACTGGCAGCCTGCGTGCTCTTAATAAAAAAGGGGTAAATGGGAAATTCACCCCACGTCCTAACCTAGCTATAATAGGTTTATTTAGATACTTTTGGGTGTCTATAAGTTACCAAAAACGTAATCACCCCATTCTAGAATCCTCTTACAATATTGAAACCTTTCCCTCAAAAAATACTCTCTCTAGAAACCATCATTGTTGGTGAAGCTCAACAACATATTCAAGCTGGGTTTTCTAAGAATGAATCATAAAGTGTAATAGGTTTTCAATTAATAAAAGGCATGGTGGTGTTCATCTATAGTTATCTTTTCAGCTAGTAAGCAGTTCTAAAAGATTTAAAAAGTGAAAAAAAATTATCAAGCACTGTTTTCTTCAATCTTCCATTGGTTCTTTCCTAAAAAGATTTAAACGGCATAATATGAATGTATATATTATTATATACTTATTAGGAAGTGGTTTTCAATCCAATTGCATGATGAACCCATGCTCTATCACAAAAATGATTTTGCCTTGCATGGGCCTAATGATATTGATTTGTTATCGAATGAATTATGATTTTATTACGTTGAAGTGTTGTGCTGTTAATTATATGAATTAATGTTACTTGATGATGATTGGAAGAGACTAAGTTTCCAGCCTGCTAGAAATTGTAGTCTCTGCCAACTTCTAAAAAAAAGAGCTTCGTTTGATTTTTTTAAAAAGTGAAATCATAGGGGATTGAAACCATGACATCATCACTAAATGAAAATTTCATAAAACATTCGTGAGAATAATTCAAGGAAAAATAGATGTGGTGAGTGGGGATTGAACCCACAATTTCTTGAATGGATGAGAGAGTTAGGAGAAAAATAAAGGAGAAAATAAATGTGAAGTGTGGAGATTGAACTTACACCCTCTTGTATAGGTGAGAAAGTTAGCAGATATATTAAAAGAAAAATAATGAGCTTGTGGGGGTTCCAACCCACAAATTCCTTGACTTAAACGAAATTAAGAGGAGAAAAGGAGAGTAAATATTATGGGGTTGATGGGGATCGAACTAGGGTCCCCCCAAATCAGAAAAATGCGATTATTAAGTTTAATATATGATGAAGTTTTTCCCATGAGATTCGAAATCAGGTTCTTAGCCAACTGTGTATTGAAACATAAGTCATACATAAGTAAATATTTAATGAAGGTTGCCTCTAGAGATCGAAATCAATATCTTGGCATATCTACAAGATGCACAAGTCTTGTACCACATAATATTGGGTAAATATGAATCACTTAGACAAACTATGAATGAAGCCCCATGGTTTGTATGTATAGACTCATAAGTCTAGCATACGTTTAAAAGTAAGTGAACAAAGACATATGTGATTAAATGATGTAACCCTAAAAGGGTTAATTAAGAGTGTGAAACACACTAAATGTCCATGTGCATTAGCATATGATGAAATGAAAAATGAAATAAAGAAATG